CACTACTTCGGCGCTTCCACGGTAATGGGATGTAACGTTGGAAAAATGCGAGCTCGGCTCCCTTCAATCGATTCGATCTCTGCGAGCGGATAATCAGGATGGGCAGCGATGCTGATATAGCTCCCGGTGAGCACCTTAAGGATCAAATAAGATCGTATATTCTGTCAAGAGAGAAGGACGAAGTTTGGCGCAGGAAGTTAGCGATAGTAAAAAGGGACGACGACGACGCGACGAGCGGGCTTTGACTTCTTTGGATGAGCCATCGATGTTTCACTTATCATCGGAATTAAATTTGGATCAAGCCGCTCTCGGGAGCTGACGTTTTGTCGCTTATCGGTTGCTTTATCGCCCGTTAAACTTTCTTTACGCGACACCAACTTTCTACGACTAGAGGTAAGATTAATATTGAGATGTATCGTGACGCCGCTATTTTTATGATATATGTATTCGAATACCACAAGATTACAGTTGTAAAATATTTTAATAGAGATTTCTCTAGGACTCAATTAGGATCGAAAATCCTCCCATTGTGTGTGTATTAACTCTCTATCTATGACTAGACGAAATTGATATTGAAATGTTTCATGACGGTGCCATTTTTACTATATACGCAGAATGTCCCGAGATTACATCGCAGAATATTTCATTAACGATTTCTAGGTCACGATTAGAATCCCTCAATTGTGTGTGATTGTGCTTACTTTCTACTTATGACTGTACCAAATTGATATTGTAATGCCTCGTGACGATGTCATTTTTACTATATACGCAGAGTGTCTCGAAATCACGTCGGAGAATATTTCAATAACGATTTTTGGGGCTTAATTAGAATCGAGAATCCTTCAATTGTATATGATTGCGCTTAATCTCTACTTTCGCCGGAAATCAATGCGATTTACTGTTAAGCAGCACTGATGCATTATGATATATTACCACTCTATGAGTGGTGAAATTTATCACTCACCATTATACGTCCAAGTCCAAGAAGATCCACCCATGTCGAGCACAGGTCCTCGGACGAAATTGGCCGCTGTGTCCTGTGAAATTGTCCCAAACTGCGTCCCTCCGAAATTCCACAAGGGTCTGTCGTCGTCCCACGTTCATTGCACTTCACTCGCGACGCGATTAATGTCCATATTTCACAAACGCTATTTAACGAAAAATTTTTATTCATCTGGAAGTGGATTAATCAATCCGGAAAACGAAATCGGAATTTATGAATTTGTTTAATGAATATTTACCGCGGTAGGACAAGTTTCGGTATGCTCGACTCGTACTCGCGAATTGCGTCACGAAACATAAAATAAACCGCGAATATAAAGTAATTTTTAAAATAAAGTAAATCTTAAACCTCAATTCGGTTAATCGTCAATAGCGTAAAATTTTCACGCTATATCTTCGCGTTATTCGTAGCAGAATTATTCCACGATAATTTTAATTTTACGAAATATTTGTATCTCTCAGCAGAGAGAATGAGTCGCGATGCAAATATAAGCGCAGGGGATTCAAAACAGAAAACACGACGGTTAAATCTACTTCCTTGAATAACATATCTTGGACGTGTAAACAAAGCTCCGTTTGTAAAAACTGTTATTCTCCGCTCGCATCTCATATTTTCTCTCAAGTAAATATTCGACGTAAATATCGTGAAGGATATTATAACTCCCGCGATAATCGCGAGAGGAACATAAAAAGAATCATTATCTGCTCGAAATAATAAAGTAATTATACGGAATAAATTAACTCTCTTCGCAATTATTATATAGTTATTATATAGTTTCACAATTATTATATAGTTTGAACCAGTTTGAAAATACAAAAATAAATACAGCTATACAATATCACATTAATATAAATGTATTTATATGAGGATTAAAAATAATATGTTACAAAAATAATGTGCTCTGATAATGTAATCTGTAATCTGATAACGTAATCTAATATTTTAAGTATCTACTAAAAATGATACAGATATTAAAAGAAACGATCTACCTTTTTCGAACAGTACCCTTCATTCAAATAATGAAGTAATTGGCATTCAAAGATCTACAAGCAAAGCAAATCGCATTGACTCCAGCGAGATTTTGCAAATCCCTACCACCTTAAATCGTTCATTTGTCTGACTTACTTGGAATATCTAAAGCTCAGGATCGGCCACGTTTACCCGTGTTTCGAACAAAAATATAATTTTGTCAGTCAGATTTAGGAATTCATTTGACAAAGTACTGCGTAGATCTCACAGAGATATGAACGAATTAGCTGCTCGCGATCGTAATTCCAGTCGTTCCAACGACTATATCGCGGCTTTCGACCGCGAACGGTTAAATAGAGAAGTATAGCGAGTACGTGAACCTACCTTCGAGCCGACCCTGCTCTGCCCGAACCGGATCCTCCGCTGCTGCATCTGCATCCGCCGGAATGGCGTCCTCCGGACCTGCATCTGCCGCACAGCCGCAAGCTCTGCCAGATCTGGAACGAGAAATAGTTTCCCTAATTAATTACAATGCTAGCGAGGACACTTGGGTACACACAAGTCAAGAATACCGAAATTCCGACCGTATTCTCCTTAAAATCTAATAAAGTCGAATTATGATATTTACCATTTAAATTTTCCGTGTCGCTCTCTTTCTCCCTCTGCTCTCACGATGCACTGGGCAATACACAAGGCGAAACATCGCTATTCACACCTCGTGATCGCTCCGATAAATCCAGAAAAGTTAGGAAAAGTTCGCGAAGAATGGCGCGCGACGCGATGTATCCGTCACCATGCTAAAGATTGTTATGATCTGCAACCGAGACATATATCTAAACATGTATTATCCATTGTGCGACTTCACCGCATCAAAATAAACAGTACTACGCGACACCAAAACAAACCGGAATGTTGATACTATAATCTATATATGTACTTATTCTCATGTTTTCTTTCTTCATAAAGCTATACATTTATCAAATCATGACGGACTGCGATTCACTAGACGCTACAGATGCGTTGAACTATGTTTTTCTTGAAACGCTTCAGAGCGTTTGTAACGTCCTAGTGAACCGCATCCTATGAATGCCGGTTTAAATCTTGATACGAACATTTCCTTATCCTCAATCAATTTGTCAAACGCTCGTTTAAAGCGAAAATATGTTTGAAATGAATATGTGTGTGATTTGGTACGTACTTGACAACGGTATATAGTAACCTTAGTCTCGGCGTCCTGTATTCTCCGTCTTGACTGAATTTCATTGCAGTATCGTAATCCTAATTGCTCCGTCGCGACATTCCGGATCTCTCGTAACATTGACGCTAGCCGAGGTAACGTTGACAGCCGAGGTAGAGATTCGAGGATTCACCAGGAAAACTGCGTGTTAATCACGACACGACGAGAGCCCGATCACTTTGCACGGGAATACGGCGTACTTTCGGCGCACGCAACGACAGCGGCGAGATGGCTCTACTTGCATGTCACACATTTACCATCTGCGCTTTTTACATTTTCTACACTTGAGATAAAATTGATATAAATTACACGCATAAAATCACGTAAATTAAGGTAACTAGACGTTCCGATTTTTTACCCTTTGTCCCGAATTTTTTCAAGTGCTATTCAAGATACCGATTTGTCATTTTCAATGATTGTCAAATAATTTTTGGATCTTTTTACTCTCCTCCCCTCGCTTCACACATTTATGAAGTGTCCCGAATTCAGGGCTGGGAAATCTGATCACCTTACATATACCGCGAGGAGAAACAAGAAGATTACTTACAAATGACGTCTTCACGATATGCCCCGGCGATCGCATATCGCTATTTTCGACACTCCCGATACTTATTCCCGAGACTTATTTTCGATGGGTTAAAGACGTGTAAAATGTGGAACAATGTTGATCAATATGTTCACGACAATTGCTCGATGCAAAAAGATCGAGAATCAAAATGGTCGCGTGATTGTTGATTCGCGCTGAAAATATACGTTAATATATGAACGGCGCGCGGCCGAAATAACGCGCTCTATAAAATACTTTTCTCTCCGTATCTCTTTTCCTAACAAGCTGACGCAACCGCCCGAATATTCCGCATCTCTCTCTCTCTCTCTCTCTCTCTCTCTCTCTCTTTCTCTCTGATTGTCATCGCATTTCTAATTCCCGCTCAATAAATCCGATGATAGTCCGATTCTACTGCTACTTAAGCGAGTTGATGTTATTAGCAAATGTAAGGGACGCCGGTGCGACACGTCGCGACAAGCACCGGCCGCATTTACCGCGAGGAGAAACGAGAAGATTACTTACAAATGATGTCTTCACGATACGCCCATCGGTATTCTCGACACTCCTGAGATTTATTAACGCGCGAGACTCACTTTCGACGGATAAAAGACGCGGAGCGATATGGGTCGATGTGTGCCCATGGCTGCTGCTTGGCGCGAGAAGATCGAGCATTTCGCGCGATTCATTACCAACGCCTAGATTGAACAACCACGATGACAACCTCGTAGTGCGAAACGAACGCGATTGGTTAAAGCGTCCGCCGTAGATCGCGTCGTTGTAGACGCGTGATTTCGTTCGCATCAGTGGCGCGTTCACATTCATGCACTTTTGGCACTTTCGGCGCGCTAATGAACTTTTGGTGTACGTGATTGACAGCGCGCGCGTCTGCGATCTTTTCATGCCGAACAACTGCCATAGACACAACGCTCCGTATTCCATACGTCTTTCGCTTGTCTCCTGCGGAAATAAGTATTAGAGTACAACGACGTGCGGTCGTCAGAATATATCGTAAGTACATTATGACGGAGTAATCTCCTCTCTTCTCGACACATATAGCTAAGGTGACCAGACGTTCCGATTTTTCACCTTTTGTCCCGAATTTTTTCGAGTGTTATTCGGGACACCGATTTGTCATTATTTTCAATGATCGTCAAATAATTTTCGGATCTTTTTATCCCTCTCCTCCCCCCCCCCCGCCCCCTGCTTCACACATTTATGAAATGTCCTGAATTCAGGAAATCTGGTCACCTTACGTAAATACCCAGTGAGAAATGAGATTCGACGTCGAAACGAGGTCGAAATCGTCAGATCAACGTCTTTTCGACGTTGATCGATGAGTCATTTCTTACTGGGTATACGCTCCTTATTTACTAATTAAGTGAGTATATTCTCAAATATATTCTCAAATTGATGGGAAAAAGTGGAAAAAAGGCCAAGATTGCACGAAACTGCAGAAAGTATAGATCGACCGATCGGACGGAACTCGACCAGTCCCCGCGCTCGACGAAAACGCTACTTAATTAAGATTCGAAATATTGAAATTTCCGGCGGCCATTACAGTCAACGTATCGATACACATACGTCGTAGTGCGTCGCTCCCCGGCTCGAGTCGTAATAACACGGCAGCAGGAAAGCGCACGATGTGCGAGACTACCAAAACAGTGGGCAAAAAGCGCTACGTCATCATCTACAATCGCGAGCCGCTGTCGCTGCCGGTCGGGAGATCATATCAACACACCGAAACATTCCAGACCCTCACAGCGGTCAAACTCACTTTCGGGCGTTGCCTGTTTTTCCGAGTGTTTCCATTCCGTGTCGGGACGACGAGCGATGCGTACGCCGCCGAGTACGTGTATTGGTAAGTCAGCTATCATTCTTGTCGGTTGATTAAAATCTCTCGTCGACTCGTGAGATGTATAATCGTGCTCTCGTCGACATCGTGTTAATGAACATGTATTTCTCCGATAGGATCGTATCCGCGTGCGAGTGTCAGTGTAGCGTCAATGTTGCGAGTGATTGTCCGAAGTGTCACGATGAAGCAGCTGGGAATGAGATGTTGGATCAAAGAAGCAGGACACCGGGACGCGATCAGCGATACGTTATATATCTTCAGGTGTGTCGAATGGTTCATTACTCAGCAGATTCCTGTTTTTAACGGGCAACTGATAAAATTATTGGGAATATAGAGGCGCCCGAGTCGAAATTTATGCTGGCATTCGTGATTATTGCTAACTGAAATTGATGATAAATTAAATATCTAATTTAACCTAATCTAACATACAGATATAATTATTAAAATAATCAAGTATTATGAATAATTCTGAAATGTCCTCTTTTATGATTAATACAAAATAAAAAATACAGCAGTAAATAATGATTTGCTCAAGATATGACAACGGTTGTAATGTTATACTTAGAGATACATTGAGAGAAAAAAAAATCTAAAAAATAAAAAATTTTTATTCGATAGAAACTACCCGCATAGAAGATATTTTAGGGCTTTGAAATCCATTTTAGGGAATTGAAATCCAGCCCGATTTCCCACAATAATCATAGGTCCTAAATGAGAAATCTATGCAGAGTCTGGTTAGAAGTATAATGTTTTAAGGCTCCTGGGGAGTCGCATTATCCATCTCTTTTTAACGACGTCAGAAGCGAGAAAACGCATGCTAAAAATTCTTGCAAAATACGTCGAGATAAATAGATATATTCACAAAACGACATTTGCAATCGATTAAATATACTTCTAAAATACTCCGTACACTTTCCTTTTATTCTAAAAATTAATAGATAATCGGAAAAATAATATGACAAAATAATGAGGAAATTAGGTTAGAAAAGACGATTGCACGTCACATTTATTTTATAATTATCTGTTGATTGTTAGAACAAAAGGAAAATGTACGGAGTATTTTAGAGGTGTACTTAATTGATCGCAAATGTCGTTTTGTGGATATATCTGTTTATCTCGACGTATTTTGCAGGAATTTTTTAGCATACGTTTTCTCGCTTCTGACGTCATTAAAAAGAGATGGATGATGCGACTCCCCAGGAGCCTTAAACATGTGAATCTAAGTGGGAAATATCCAAATAAATATCATTTAGTCATTCCCAATGTTTTCTCAAAAATTTTTTCTAGTTTACATTTTAAACTAAAATTGAGTAAAATATATGGAACATTTTAAATATTTATTCGTTACAAATATACATATATATATTTTTTTTGTAACGTAAAATAACGCATATATATATAGAAATATTTCAAGGTAAAAAAGATATATTTAATATATATATATTTTTTCTATTTATTTGAGGTTTTTATGTTTTCTTTCTCTCTAATGGAAATATATTGTTTTCTCTCTAAAATGGAAATATATTGTTTCATTTTAAATATTCATTTATTTTATGTAAATTCCTCGGACAAAATATTAAAAACACTGAATATTATTTACTCTTTGTGTATTTACTTATACATGTGTATGTATATATACACTTTACATGTATATGTTTATATACATACACACGTAAAGAGTAAATACTCAGTGTTTTTAATATTCTGCCCAAGAAATTTACATAAAATAAATGAATATTTAAAATGAAACAATATATTTCCATTTTAGAGAGAAGGAAAGCTTCAAATAAAAAGAAAAAATATATATATATATTAAATAGAAAAAATATATATATTAAATATATTAAATATATAAAAAATATATATATTAAATATATTAAATATATTTTTTTTACCTTGAAATATCTCTATATATATGTATTATTTTACGTTTAAATATGGAATAATGTAAGTCAGAAAACATTTGCATTGTCTTTATTACATTAATGAAACTAATGCAAATAATATAAAAGCTTAAGTTTCCTTAATATTCCTGGTCTAATTCTGGATTTATGAGACAAGAATGAGATTCTCAATTGGTATTGTAGTGGGATAATATTTTGGGATAAAGTTGGACATTCTGATTGGAATCTAAACTGTATTTGGGAATATACTAAGTAATTTCTGTGCAGGTAATAATATATTGTACAAATATATATATATATATATATATATATATATATATATATATATATATTTATTTATTTATTTATTTATTTATTTATTTCTATTGAGAAAAACATTCTCTTCAAATAAGAACATTTATATTTTCCTAAAATCGCTGCTTTTCATAAAAGTAATTTTTTATCCTACTTAGAGAAAAGAATTTAGAGTCAAGTAAATGTTATTAGTAGCCACGGTATAAATGTCTAAAAAATAAAATATCTTTATTCCGCGGGTCCTAATACAACATACTATACTAAAATATTCATATATTTTTCCATTAAGAAAACGTCCTCTTCAAATGAAAAAATTAATTTTTTCTAAAATCGTTACTTTTCATGAAAATACTTATTTACTCTATTTAACCCTTTGAAACATAAGACTTTCAAAATGTGGATTATAATAAAATATTTATGTCATATGTCTAGAATAACAACCTAAGAAATCATTCTTTTTGATATTAATTTTTTTTGTTTTTGTTACAAAATATTTCCATTCCTTATCGTTCTTTGGTTTTTATACTCCTTTTTAAAACAGTTATCTATTTATTTTATAAAAGGTAAACTTATAGGAGGTAAACAACACATGATGAACACTTCTTTTATTACAAATTATGAAATACTTAACGCTGTATATAAGTAATATTACCATGAAACCACTGTGCTTTAAAAGGTTAAACACATGGACGTAAAAATATCTGTACGGAGCGTAAAGTATTTTTATGGGCGCGGGGTGAAGCCAGCGCGGTGAGGGGAAATCTTCGTCGCGGCCATCTTTGGTGATCAAAAGTGACACACACACACACACACACACACACATATGTGGGCGCGCGCGCGCGTGTGTGTGTGTGTGTGTGTGTACATAGATTGAGGATTTTAATCTTTGTGGTGGAAGGTCCTCATGGATAAGACTATATATTTCGTAGTAGAAGATGCCGGATTATTACGCGAAACATTGTAAAAGCCGGAGAACCGAGAAACCGGAAAAATAAAATACAACCAGAATAGAAACGTAAGACTATCATTTCAGGTATGTTTTAATATAACAGACAGTTGCAATTAAGATAAAACTTTATATTCACACACACACTCATACATACGTATTCATTTTGTACATTTCCCAAAATATTATACCAAGACATTGTGCTCCGTGATATAGGCCGCCGCCATATTTGGTGATCACTTCCGACTTTCACTCCTCTCACCTCTGTGGCTTCACTCCCCGCGAAATACGCTCCGTCCATGGTTAATTATAAGAATTGAGTCAAGTAAATACGTTATTAGTATCCACCGAATAAATATATTTTATCTTTTAGATATTTTTTTCCCTCAGTGTATACATTGGTTCTTCAGATATTCTACATTGGTTCTTCAGGTTCGAACAAGATTAATGCAAGATTAATGTAGAAGCAAAATTTCGACTCGGGGATAAGACTCGTCGATGTAGCGACGAGTCTTTGGAAAACATTCGTAGCGCGTTTACCAAGATGGTGCTATTCGCAACTTGGTTTCACCGAGTAAATCCGCGTATACGCATCAAATATTCCAAGTTCTGATGCCATTCATGATATCGTGGACTTCTCGCGGTAGCTCCTGGCTTCGGCGCTCTATCGTGCTCGATGAGCCGGACCCCTTTTTCTTTCGTAATCTCCGAATGATGTTACAACTTACCCTGAGCGCATCTGTACCACGCCTTCGTGCCATGTAAACTACTCGCGGTACGATCAGGAACCATTCGTGCCGGTACCGCTTGCCCTTGGCGTACAGAGATCGCGTCCGTGTACTACACCGTACGCTCGCGCGAGGCTGATCACTCTCCGTTTCCGTAGTAACATGTTGAAAGAATACACACACGTCTGCGAATGGTGATTTGCGTATGAGTGGGCGTTCCGAAGTCGTCTCGCGGAGCGCACCGCTCTACAGCAGGTTTCAGGCGAGGCCGCCGCCTGATCGCGGAACGAGCCATGGTAATGTGAAACATGATTACTCGCGGAGAGATAATATGTGTAATAACAATCGCATTAGCCGACCGAGAGCCGGCCGTAGAGCTGCGGGGGATCCGGTCTTAGTGATGGAGTTTATGCCAGTGTTTCTGTCCGCTTCGACAACGCGTCGAAGTGTTCCACCATAAACCAGGCATCTGATTGAGTAATAGTAATAGTCGGGAGTAACGCAGCATCCATCGCGTCCATCTACGGCGCGTTTTAACCGCCCCGCGGAATTTATTTCGCCGAGAAAACCCACGTTAGATTTGCGAGTATTCGTCATTCATTTTCGCGGAACGTGTGGCATAGAAAATGTCTTTGGATCTAATTGGGATTCAGTCCGACTTTCCAAAATAATTATGGCTTCTGGATAAAAGTGTAATGTTTCATGTAAGCCATTCTAAGTGTGGAAAACCCAAGATTTTTGCAATATTTCTTCTGGTCTTTATTTTACGTTAGAATTGAAGAAAACATTTTGACTTTCCGAATAATGTCATTATGCAATAGGATGCTCAAAATCTTTAAAAGATATCTTCTTTTTTATATTTTATTGTATTGAATATAATAGAATAAGTATAAGAATAGGGTTCTCTGTGTTTGATGAAAGTATACCGACAAAAAAAATACAAGAATAAGATTTTTAATTAGTATCGTAGAGGATAACTAATTTTGGGACAAATTTGGGTATTCTAGTCGGAATCTATGCTTCATCTGAGGAAATTTCTCCAAAATTTTTCCAATTTCAATTACGGCTTAATAACAATTAGCGCGAGGAAAATAGATATCATCGCGTGATCGATGATATCTGGAGGTGGACGATCTATTGTAACCCCGATAGAGAGCGCCGGATCAATAACATCAACTGTAATTATCTGTTTTACGCAAACTATATGCTTGAAACGTTTGGCGCGCAAAATTCCGTGAAAATTGACAGACAGCCCTCGTTCGCGGTACATGATAATGACAACAAATAATCGTCACTATCTGCCCTCGAAATGGAGAGCTGCTGTCCGGCGCTTCTACCAGCCGCACCAGCATAACGACTATAATTGATGGCTGTCCCTGAAATGAATTC